GGAACGCGGCGGAACCGCGTTCCGGCACCTTTTTCCGGGCCGGCCGCACCGGAAATAGCCCCTCCCACACCGGAAATAGCCCCTCCCAAATTTTACTTGCATTCCTGTTCTCTAAAGGGGCGGTCCTAGGGTTTGATGAGGGCGTGGCCAGGTTTGAGTTCCGCCACCTTTTCTCCGAGAAAAAAAGCCCTGGGTATATAGCAAAGATAATTCTGCTATCCTACTACTCGGATCTGAAATTAATCAAAGATAAACAGTTGTGACAATAGTGGAGCTTAGCAAATGTTACTCCTCTCAAGAATGCTACTAAGATCACAGAGCTTTCAGGTGGATGGAACTTAAATGTAAAAAGTAGGCCTCCGGAATAATAAAAGTATAAGACGATAGGTTCAAACTGTTTGGAAAATAGAAGTGACACTCATTTTCATTTACAGAAACAGGAGAAGCTCAAAGCATGACAATAGAATATAGGAATTCACAATTCAAGAAGCAGAAAAATTATTAATACTATCTCCTTGTGCCTGAATGAGAAATCAAACCAAAGCTGGCATGAGTACATAAACAATAAATACTGTTTTTGAAATACTCTTCATTAAGATTATAATACACAATGGGAAAGACAGGAAGATATAGAGGGTATGGTCTGAGCAGCTCAAAGAAGCTAGAAGAGTGTTCTGCCTGGTGATATGAGATGCCTATGCCTGGCTATGAACCAATCCCATACCTATACCAAGGAAGTAGAGTTGACCCTCTCTGGCTGTAACTGGAAATAATAATCACAAATTTCATTTCATTTTTTTCATTTTTCATTTTATTATATTTATACCCCGCCCTTCTCCCGTAGGACTCAGGGCGGCTTACCTGAAGGAACCCAGGTATCTGTGGAAGTCAACTGCTGAAGTGACAAAAATGGAAAAGAGATAATCCCGAAATGGAGTAAGACATTTAGAATGCTTCATAGATAGATCTTTCTGCCCTGTCGGTCTTGGAACTAAGGAACTGTTTGCCAACAAATGTTAAGTTTTCCATATGGATTTGGATGTACTGTATTAAATCGGGGGTTTACAAACTTAGCAGCTTTAAGACTAGTGTACTTCAACTCCCAGAATTCCCTAGCCAGCCCTACTGTCTAGGGAATTCTGGGAGTTGAAGTTGTCAAGTCTTAAAGTTGCCAAGTTTGGAGACTCCTGAGTTAGATCAGTGGAAAAAAGCTATGTACTGCAACAGAACAACAGATGGTCCCATTTGTGAACTAAG